CCCCCAGGTCCTTTTCCGCCAGACAGCTTTCCAGCCACATAAATGTCCAGCTGTTGCAGTTACTGCATCTCAGCTGGTCTGGCAGCTTTATGACATTAAACTGGCCTTGCTAGGTATAGGAAAAACAGGCTTGACATAAATATACATATTGATCTTATCAAGTCAGAAGTTAGAAAGAGCTAGAGTTTGATATTTACCTTGAAATATATTCTTTGGCACTGTAGTAAGAAGACGTCTCTGTTGCATCTGCTGCTGTCTCATAGTCAGTGCTGGTCACTGTTAAACGGAAAAGGAAGTGTTTTCTATAATCTGAGCTTTGAAACTATTTTTCTTACTATAATTGTAGTTTCCCTACTAATTTGAGTGACACTGCTACTGCAGCAGGATCCCACACATCCCTGGATTATGGCAACCACTTCTGTTTATCTGAAAAGCTTTGCTCTGAGCCTTGTCTTCGAGTTGGCAAAACTCAACTGAACCCAAGAAGTTTGCAAGTGAAACATTTTGTAAGCTTCACACACATTTTTTTTTTAATGTAAATGGTATTTTTCTTGAAAAAAGATTTATCCGCCTCTCAGCAGGACCCCTTCCCTTGTTTTTTCTACAATGATCTTGAGACTTACAGTCCACTCGAAGCTCAGCCTTGGTTGAAGCAACTCCCATGTTGTTTTCAGCAAGGCAACGATAAACACCCATGTCAGCGGGGACCACAGCTGTGATGATCAGCTGATGACACCCTTCCTGGTCCTCGTTGATCATGTAATGATCGTTTTCTTCAATAGCTTTCCCATCCTTGAACCAGCGAACCGTGGGGAGCGGTTTGCCAACGACAATGCAGTCAAAGCTGACTGGATATCCATCTTGTACCTCTTGGTTTTGGAGCTCAGTCATGAACATGGGAGCTAAAGTCAGGGTAGTTAGGAGGGAAGAAAGGAAAAACTTGGTTGTGTTAAAAGATGCATTTTATGAGCACTGCTGCCCAGTGCCTGAAGTCTTCTGGTTTCTAGGTTTTTTAATTGCAGAGTGATATCTTTTCTCTATGAAAACAGTCAAGAAGAAACTCCCTGACGAACACTATGAAGATATTCCGTAACACCATAAGCACTGCAATACCACGGCTGCAAACTATACATTGCCTCTGTTCCTCTCCTTGCCAAAATGTCGTCTCCCTCAGGACTGTTCTGAAAACTGTTTCATTTATTTAAGTATAATAATCATAGCACTTATGGCTATATTGTTGTAATAGGGGACATTTCTATTGTGAAAAGCAGATAAGGTAGATAAGTCAATACTTTGCGACCCCCTTTCTTCATCACTAACGTCCCTCCTCTTTCTCAAAGTGAAAAAAATAAAAGATTCATCAGTTTTTCCAAAAATACAAAGTTTCCAGAAAAATATCTGCACCAAATGAAAAACAAAGGCTTTTGGAAGTTATTTGTGAGTGAAAAGATAACACTCTGACCTGCTCCAGATGTCTTTTCCAAATAAACAGGTTTGTTTCACCTACCTGTATCAGAAGTCAGCAAAGGTGGTGGAGGTCTCACTACTGGTGGTACAAACTTCTCATGGGTGGGTGGTGTTGCTTTCCCAATACGCAATTCAATTTTTTTAGGGCTTTGTTCTAAAATGTCAATCTCCACGGGAATTCCCAGGGCACCAAACATCTCTCTGAAACGAGTGGCAGCAGTTTTTGCCTCAGACAAGATTTCAAACTTGATGTAGATGTACTGGTCATCCTCACGATATGTCTGCTGGTCAACCACCTCTATGTCCCCTTCATCTGCACTGACAAAGAGCTCTTCCTCCACGTCAGATATCTCTGTTGAGATCTTGGCCCTGAAGAGTCTATGAAGTCTCCTTCCTGCTTTACGGAAAGCATCATCCAGCTCACTGCCAGATGAGCTCTCTGTCTCACTGTCAGTGCTTTGTTTAACCTGCTCCTCCTTATGAAGAACTTGAGGTTCCTGAGTGCCAATAACCACCTTAGCACTGTGTGAAACCTTGCCAAATTTATTGGATGCCTCACAGGTGTATTTACCCGCATCTTTCCTGTCCAGGCCAGTGATAATCAAAGAGCAGGTCCCATCACTGTAATTGTCTATGTGATGGTGGCGACTGTCTGAAAGCTCCTCCCCATCTTTCAGCCAACGGACTTTCATGTCGGTTTTGCTGTGGGCCACACACTCAAGGTGGAGAGTGCTTCCAGGCTCACCAGAGAAATCTTTGAAGGTCTCAGTAAACACTGGGCACTCTTGTTGTTTGATCTCTTTCCTGACTTTGTAGCCTTTGAAAGCAGCCTGGATCTTCACAGCGGCCATGTTCATGGAAGGATCATCTAAATCTGGTATTTCTGGTTCAGCTGGTTTAGCAGCTGGGGCAGTCACAACAGTCTCCGCACCGGATTTCTCCCACTGTTTCCATAATTTGCCTGTGGAGGTGGACTGAACCTTGCTAGTAACACTGACACTTGTCTTCCCAGCTTTCTTGAGGTAGTTCACCAGTGAAGGAGTCCCAGCTCTAGACTCATCATCTGAGCTTGTGAATGAGAGATCTGCTTCTCCTGTCCTAGCCAGCTCATCACACGTGGAGTACTCCTCTGAGTAATAGTGAGACATCTCTGCTTCCTCCTTCCTCAACTTCTGAAGCTTCTCGTCCTCTTCAGGCACCTCGCTGATGGAATCCAAGGTGGGCTCCCGGCTCATCCGGCGTTTCTTGGCCAGGGCTTCCCACAGGAGGTGAAGGTCTCCCTCCTGAGCAGCCTCAGGGGGCAAGCTGGGCTGGACATGGCCATCCACCAGCTCTTCTGGTTGGCTCTCAGGGGGTGCTTCCCTGGCAATCTCTTTTAGCATTGTCACTGTGGGAACTGAGGAGAATTAAATTGAGAAGAGGTTAAAAGTCTGTGAGTAAGCTCCAAGAAAGTACATGGAAATGTTATTCTAAAGCCTGGGCAGAAGAGCCTCAGTGGCATTTAACTAAGCATTATGTTGAGAACAAAATGTGAAATTAATATAACTGGACATGGTCCTGGGCAACTTGTTCTAGGTGACCCTGCTCTGAGCAGGGGGGTGGACTACACTCTCTCCAGAAGTCCTTTCCAACCTCAAATATCCTGTGATTCTATGCATGCATATAAAACACAGCCAAACAACTTTTTTTTTTTTTTTTTTTTCTTCCTCACACATTTGAGCCCAATAAATAAATTTCTGCCCTTTTTGAATATTGCAGTCAATGAATATCTGGTTAAGACTGCCAGTGGAGCCTGGAAAGCTATTCCAGGCTCATTGCATTTTACAGCTAGACAGGGCTTCACTGACTAGCTTGAAGAGATTTCCACTGGTTGTTGGGAGCAGAGACTCCCACCTTATATGGAGATATCTGCCTGTAGAAATTTCAGTTTAGATGTGTCTAAGTCTGAAGGCTGTGCTCAGCCTCGGGGACACACAGACTTGCCTCTGCATGGTGCCCAGTGCCATTTCAGATGCTCCAGGCTGGCTGGGACATCCACATGTGGCTCCCAGATACAATGCAGGACCTGTGAGTGCTCTGGGTCCCTCTGGAGAAGGAGATGGAGGCCAGGGGCGATATCGTGAAGTGCCTCAGTGGCACTAGATGCCTGTGTATGGGCCACCGAATCCCACCATAGGGGCACAATTCAGCTTCCTAAGCACTACGACCCAAAGCCATCTGGGATGTCTAGGGCAGGGGCTGGCAGATACCACGCAGAACATATGAAAGAGCCCTCACTCTCTGAAGTGGCAGCGGAAGGCCAGGCAGAATGCCCAAAAGGGGTATCTCAAAAGGCACCAGAAACCCATGTAGAGACAACTGTATTGCACCTTAAATATCTGACTCGGGAAAATCTTATGTGAGCAGCTCAAAGCTGTTAGGGATTCCGAAACATACTGGGCAATACCAAACAGGAAGATAACAATTCTTTGTGGATTGCCATCACAGCTGGTAAAAGAAAATTAATTCCAGCCCAAGCTGTGGAGATGCCCCTGGATGTCCATAAACAGAACTGATTTAACGTCACAGGAATGTGCTCTCTGTACCTTCAAGACACAAGCTGGCAACAGATTTGACTTCTGGAGAAACCATGCAGGTATATGTGTCCTGATCTTCAGGTTTAAATGCATGAATAATGAGTATCTGCTTTTTTCCATCAGAGAGGATCTCGTATCTCCCTCCAGCTTGTATTTGTTCTTTTCCTTTGAACCATGTCACTCTCTTTTCAGTTTCACTTGATAACTTGCACTCCAAGCGAGCCACCTCCCCTTCTGAGACGGATCCTCCCACCAAAGGATGGGTGACTGTAACTGGAGGCTCTGTAATCACAAAAAAGTGAATTAACACAAAGAACATATTATAATCTGTCTTTATGGCACTCAAGATCACTCTATAAAATATCCAAGAATCCCATCCTTCATTTATAGATTCTTTGGCTGTTGTTGACAACCAAAGGAAAGAAAAATGACTGGTAACATCCATCGTTTGCACTTCCAAAGATAATATAAAAATAACTTTACAAGCTCTCCCCACGGTTAAACCAGCTCCATTTAAATATATGCATGCAAAAGTGGTTGCATTTTTCACATCCCTGTGTTTATTTGCTGATCTTCATTTACCCATCACCAGTATTCAAGCAGTCCTACAGATTCTAGAAGATCTTAATGTTTAGAAGTGAAGCCCGTCTGAAGTGACACAAGAAAGAAACAATAAAAAGAAAAAAAATTATTAAAAGCAGCATCCATCCCAGTCTTGAAAATAAAATAAAAAAAAGAAATTTACACTAGCTTAGAAGAGTAAAAATTCTCAAAAAGCATAAAGAATTTAAAAATAAAAATTCTCTGTATCTTCTTTACTTTGGAAGAAGGCCTCCCAATGGCATGCACTTTTTATGGCAGTGATACTCAAAATGAAGTCAAGACAAACGCATTAAACATGGAGATGTTGACTGGGATGTAAATCACACAGCTGAGTTCCCAAAAGCAGCACGCTCCTCAGCGTGATCCGCCCCTCTGCACATTTCACCGGTGTGAGGAGGTCACTGCCCAAAATGCCTTGGGTTTATTGTAGACAAAGTCAGCGTATGCAGAGTTATCAGGGTCCAGCACTGGTAGTTGTTATGTTGCAAACACATCATCATGTGTCTGAGCCTTAAGCAAAAGAGGATTTTTTATTATTATTCCCACTTCAAGGAATTTGTTGGGCACTTGGCTATCACAGAAAGAGTTGCAAGAAAAGAAAGATTGAGGGAGTGGCTCTCCATCCCACTGTAGCTTCCAAAGTTTCACCAACAGACAGCAAAGGAACGGTGTCCTCCAGCATTTCTTTGTGGGGGGTTATTGAAAATGATACACAAATAATATAATGAAAGAGGAAGATGGGTGAAGAAGACAACACTGCCCACCCACTGCATTGGTACTAGAGTCTTGGTTACCCCGAATGCATTCCAGCATGCCCCTTTTGACTCATTCCATCCTAACCCAATCAGGGAAGAAACTCATGGTGACCGGACAACACATGGATGCAGTGCAGGCTGCAAGACAGCTTGATGCAGTTTGGAGAAAATAAGTGTTGAGTACTAACAACACAGCAGGTTTGTTTGCAGCAGCCCGGAACAAGATTTCCAAGCTCTTTCTCCTCTATTGTGTTGGCGGCAAAGCACTGAAAGACGTTGCAGAGAGAACTCTTCCAGGAGATGCCTGGAACAGGTAAGCAGGCATGCCATGCGAAACACAAGGTCTACAGCAGCTTGCAGTTCTCCATGGGGGCATCTCTCCATTCTCACCTAGCCGCACCGTCTGAGGGAAGTGGACTGGCTCGCTGGCCCCAACTTTGTTTATAGCCGAGACGCGGAATCTGTAGGGTTCACCAGGGGTGAGATCGTCCACCATAAACTCTGTGTTTTGAATAATGCCCTGGCTGCATGACTGCCAGCCAATACCTGGGATTTTCCTCTCCACGTTGTAGCCTAGGATGTCACAACCGCCATCGCTCAACGGCTTGTACCAAGACAGAGTTACAGAGTGGCTGTTCTTACTTAAAACCTCTGGTTCTTCAGGTGGATCGGGGCGGGCTGAAGGCACAACAGAGGTCCCATGATGTACAATGTGAGCAATAATGCTTTATAGCATTATAACAACCAAGAGCCTTCTACAAACAATAAGAAGGAAGCACAACAGATTCAGTATTTGTCTTATTGTAAAGTTGACTGGGTATGTGCCCATGACCATAAGACATACCTGTGCACCATTCGTTTTTCCTTTGTCTGCCCTCATCTACACTGCTAATTACAAACATTCATTGTCCAACTGTCATCTCACTTACTTAATGTCACATATTGTTCTGATTTTTTCCTGCTGCTTTGTCCCACCCAGCTCAAAATAAAGATGACCCTACGCTGTCTGTCTTATCAAGGAACTTAGCTGAAAACTTCAAGTACATTTGGGCCTTGATCATATTTATTTCAGGTCTGACCTTAATGGAAATCAAGTTATTGTTGGACTACAGAATAACTCTGGTAATTTAATAGCAAGTCACTCAATTTTTGTGTGATTGCCATACATGTCACAGCATCAGTCAATAACAAATAAACATATAATGGGAATGGTCTGGTGTCCTACCAGATTGGCTACTGATGATCATAATCAGTACACTGGAAAATGTTCCTCGCTTAATTTACTCTTCAGCTTAGAAGACAGAAATAATTCTTTTAGTCTTCAAGGTCAAGGTATTTACCAAGTAAATGACCTGCCACGATGTACTACTCCAAGAAATTAAAGGCAAAAAAGGTCAACAGACAGTTCTTTGATTCTGGACACAACAAACATAACATAAAAGCTTCTTTTCTCTATTTTCAGCCAAATTTCATACAGAAAGTCTGTCAACAGGAGGAGTTCATGAGGGTGGTATTTTGCAGTTCCTGAAATGTAGGTGCCCAAAATAAGATAACGCTGTTTTAAATCCATCAACAACTAATTTTTTGCGGAAATGACTGGAATATAGCAGAGATCTCTCAAGTCTCAGAAATCATTAGACAAACAGACTACCCATAATAATTTAAAGAATGGATGGTCAATCAGTGGCTCTTGACTATCTCAACTACAGCGTACAGCTAAAACACCTTGCAATTATCTCATAACCATCACTGGGGTTGTGCTGGCGTGACCATTGCTGGGTGACACACCTATCCCACTGTGGGAAGGAGCCAGACCTTGGGTGCTGGAATGGACATTGATGAATCATTGGTCCAACTTGCCCCACAAGGGAATTGGGGAACTATCATCTTTTCTACTTTTGAAGTACTCCAAGAGCTATTCACTCTTGTCTCTCTGAAGTACAAGGTGTGTGTTTCATGGATCTCACCCACAGGAAGATTTTAATATGCAACTCATTAATCTGGAAAACCGGTTGCCCTGCACTTGAGTAAATGAGCAGATTTCAAATAGTACTCTGCTGCCCTGGATAATGTCTCCATGTGCACTCTCATTCAGCTCCTTCCCATGTCCAACGTTTGCTGAGGGTGATGTTGAACTCTGAGTAAATTGATTCCCGTTAGACTCTATGTTACATTTTACAAAAGACTGAAGCTAAAGAAAGGTGGTGAACATCTCTACCATCGCTAGCCTGATATAATTTTCTTCTGATGAAGTAGACTGTTTCTGGTCAAAGAACAAGTTGCCTGGTAGCATCCTCTCAGACTAAGAACACTAGCTTGGGACATGTAAGGCAAAGAGAAAAGAATCAGTACAAAGATTAGAAAATTCAATGTTGTAGCTCAATACCAAAGTCTGAGATTTCAAGTGCCACTTGACAGACACTTACCTATCACAGATAACTTGGCTGATGCAATTGCTTCCCTGGAAGCAAAGGTCACCTCTCCAGAATGATGAGGTTGGGCTTTTTTCAGAATAAGTTTGTATTTGTTTCCATCTGCTTGTACCTCCCAGTCCTCATCTGACTGGATCTCTATGTCATTACTATACCAGGCAACTTCAGTAATTGGCACTGCTTCACTTAGAACGCAGCTAAATATAGCTTTCTCCCCTGGAGAGACTTCGACATCTGTGAGAGGCTGCAAGATCCGTAAGCGCCATTCTGTAAATAAAAATAGGCCCTCAGTTACAGAAACAAATACAAGCAAGAGATTTTGTGAATATTTATGCTGAAGCTCTGGACAGTCAGGCCTTGGAGACCAAGGAGATCATTCAAAGGGAGGTTACTTATGTCACTAGAACAGAAGGTATCATTGAGAACTGAAACTTTCCAAAACATTCAGGAGCAAAAATCAACTTAACAATGTTTTTCTTTCCCAAGTAGCAGAAAACCATAATGGAGATACCATGCTATGACTGAGGATGGCTCTTCTTGTACTCTGAAAGGGGTTCTTATATCCACAAGGGTCTCCAGTAAGAGCATAAAATACTAGGATGCAGAGATAATATTGTTGCTGATGTAACTTTCATCTCTAAAGCCCTGAAGTACCTATAAACACAACCCAACTCATCAGAAAATTACAACTCTAAGACAGTCATTTGCTGCTAACTCATTGCCAGCTGATCCTGCTTATATCCATGTCATGGCATATGGAACAAGAAAAAAAAGGAAATTGTAAAACATCATCCATATATTGTGTGGGAAGAAGATTTAGGTAAGAAGCAAGTAATAAATGCAACTTTTCATCTTGCTACTTATCATATTTTTCTGGTTCATTTGTCCTTTCCAATGAGAAATTTAAGATTCCCCATCCACGAGTGCTTCAGTTACCTTTCACCGTCAAGAAGGCTGAGGTCACTGCATCGCTGCACATAAAAGTCACCCTGCAGCTGTCCCGGGGGGTTAGGTTCTTCAGCAGCAGAAGATGCCTGCGTCCATTTTCAAAGTAAACCATCTCTGTGTTTTCTGTAGTTTTGGCAGGTTCATCATCAATCAGCCAGTTGTAATTGTAGCACTCGGGCTTGGAGAGATAGCATTCAAACAGGGCTTCTCCTCCTTCCATGGCTTCCACATTCTCCAAGCCCTGGACAATGCTGTTCTTGGCTAGCAAAGAAGGACAACGAACAGTATTCATTTCTTGGCCATGCATATCTGAATATTAACAAGCCTTGGAGCACTGGATGATTCCCACTGCTGGAAAGGTGATGGAAAGGGTGTGGATGTGATAAACTGTGCTTCTAGGTTTAGTTGTTGATTTCAACCATGCTCTACCACCATACTACATTTAAAAACATTTTAAGTAGTGAGATAGTTTAAAAATAATAATAAACCTCTAGGACCTCTAGCATTTCATCTAGACTTCCTCCAGAAACCTGACTTCTGTTTTTACAAATAATGAAAAAATTGTTGGTGTTTCTATGAATCAGGCCAATAGTTGATAGGAAGGGATAGCTTAGGAAGATAATCAAATTCCTTCTGTCCCATAGCAGGAAACGTTTCCCAGAGATCTCCCAGGCAGCACAGTTATCATCATAATTGAGGAGATGTGAATCCACTACCAGCTTATGATAAAATCTTACTACCTTTCATGCAAAGCAAATATGAGAGAATATTATAGTTGGCAAAGCTATAGTGACTGTCATGTGAGTTAAAAAGTCTGCCTCTAGGAAACATACAAAAAGTTAAAAATTATATTAACAGTATTTTGAATAGTAAATTTCTGAATTATTACAAAAGCTCTGTGATAATGTATTAGGTTTATTTTCTCATGCGTGTGTGGTGAATTGTGTGGTCAGAAACATGCACACATCTACACACTCCGTTTACCTGCAGAGTCATACATCAGTTGGCATTTGCACATAAACAATCATCCTGATGCAAAATTAAATGTGGGCTGGTGCATGTGAATATAATTCACGTTAGACCAGCTACATGGACAATTACATGCAGAACAGTGGGAACACATGGTTGGGTAAATACAGTTTACACAAATACCATACAATGGTCAGTGTGATCTATAATATAAATCAACGCCCTGAGACATTCCTGTTTAGATCTCTATAACCACTATCTGGAACTGTTGTAAGCAAAAAAAACCAAACCAAACCAAAACAAAAAACCCACAAAAACTGAACAATTTATTTAATAGCAAAAAAAAAAAAAAAAAAAAAGAAAAAGCATGAGTTACCAAAAAAAGTTCTGTATTTTATAATATTCATACTTATGGAGAGCAATGAGGGGTTTGTAAATCCTTGGAGAATGTATAATTTTGTTAGAACATATCCAAGCTGTTCATTTGTGCACTTTTGGAGTGCTGGTTTCCCTAACTATGAAAACCAGCCAATTGCAAATCCTACCTCCTCTGGGATGCTTTTAGATTATGTTCAGTCACATCTTTTTAAATCCCTAAAATGGAAAGTGTTTATCAATGTAGGAAATGTTATAATAAATAATACCCTGCTCTTCTGTACTCACAACTCTGGTTAAGCAAGAAGGCATAATTGCTTAACAAAACACAAATATTCAGAAATCAAATCAGAACCATTGCTCTTGCTGATCACACTAATTCATCTGGTGATCGAAAACAGTAATTCCACACACCGCAGAAAAAAATTAAGAAACATCAATATAAAATCCTAAACCTACTGTTAATATTTATATTTACTGTTTCTCAGGGTCCTCACAAATACTGATGCCAAGTGAGAAGGCAATTCCTGTGTGATCAGTATTTGAAATAAGTAAAATACCAAGCTACCTTAGCTTAGCTGAAAATAAAATGAAATTCCACACTATCCATTAGCTACTGATTTTAAGGTACACTGTGTGTAAAAAGCACTCTGTAACAGTAAAAAGGACTCTTATTATTCCTGTGGACCGACATTATATCTGTGATTTTACAATAATTCAGCAGGACACATCCCATTGCACTGATGTTCCAGTTCACTGTAGAAGAGGTATGATGTGTAAGTGGTAGGATAAGCGAGCGTTAATTAGAACTAAGCTCCGGTGAAGTGCTGCAGTTTCATATTCAATTCCCATTAACTCCCAACTACTTTTATTGTCGTTATCGGTACTGGAGTGAACATCAAAGAGTGGGTATCTGATGTGTCACTTATTGTGAGGTGCTGCCATGATTTTTCCACCTCTTTTATTTGGAACCCATGGTAGTCTTCCTCTTTGGCTGGAAGACCTCACCTTGAACATCAAGTGCAGCCATCACTTTAATGCCTTCAGCTTCACAAGAATAGATGCCAGTGTCTTCTGGTACCGTAGGTTTAATTTTTAGTATGCTTACATTCCAGTCCTGATCGATAATCACTCGCTGCCCATCTGCATGTATTTCCTGATCATCTTTCTTCCATATGGCGTGAACTGGCCTAGAATATTGGCATATGAACTCTGCTGTGCCATCTTCATCAACAGTTATATCCTGCATGGGACTGACCACTTCAATGGTTGGATCTGTTAACCAACACGTCAGGAAGGACATGCATTAGTGGATCCTCATGGAAATCGCAACTTAGAGATTTTTGACAAGCACAGAGCCTGTGGGGAGCAAGCAGAGTGACAGTGCAAGCAGGAAGCTGACCGGTCACACTGGGGATTAGCAGTTTAGTCTGTGCTTGTGTCAGCGTCAAGCAGGGTTGAAGCAAAAGTGGCACGTTAGAAACAACTGTCACACTGGAAAATGGGCCACCAGCAAGTAAGGCTTGTGCTTTAACAGTCCTGAATATGAACTTCAGTGCAGAACATCTGCTGTGATTCCCTCCAGGCTTAGTTTTTCTCCCAGCATTGCTGAAATCCTCTAGACTAGGAAGTGCTGGATGTGAAAAGTTTCTGCTTCCCAGAATGTGGCAGGAGTGCGAGTGTGAGACAGAGGACTGCAACGGATGGGGTCCTGTGAGTGGTTCCCTGTAACTCTCAACCTCACATAGCAATAGGAAAATGCCGCAAACTCTACTGGAGGCTCCTTGTACGAGCAAACTGCAACCACTCAGTAGAAAGAAATGTAATACTCAAATGCAAATACTCATTCGTGTCCTGTGGTGGTGATGGCTATATGTCAGGAGTCACTGGCAGCATGAGGAGCAAAGATCCAGGACAAATGTGACAAAAAAAGAGCACTTCACTGGAGACAGGTACTTATTGTTTTGATTAACCATGCATTCCTCTGGAGCAGAGACATAGTTTGGGGGAAAATCATATTATTTCCTTTACAGTAGCTGATCTAGAGATGTAGCATGAATCATTGCAGACTCACACTGAGAGCCCATAAAATGCTGAGAGCAGCTGGGTATGCAGCTCCTCTGAAGAAGATGAGGTCCATGAGGCTGCTTTCAAGCATTCAGTCTTCTAAAATACTAGTTCTGCTTCTTGGGAGGCAACTGTAGGGCACAGTGGATATATCTAACCTCAAAATATTGTGAGCTTCCAAAGCAGCCAAGGAGTCCCTCCTGAGATGTCAAATTGGACCACGTGCATACAACTGCAATATATAGGCTAAAAAGAAAAATCTCAGTGAAGTCTGAAAAATGGAATTCTCTCTGCAACATCCTTCTCAGCAGAACTATGTCAGCTTCCCCCAGAAATTGATAGGGCTACAATGGGACATAAAAAGATGAGAGTCAGAGAAAGCTGATATATGTCTTTATCTTTCAAATGGTTGTTCTGATCACAAGCCAGCTAGAATAAACTACACTGGACCTCTGTCTCAAATGCTCCTCTTGAAACTGGTGCATGAGGCTGAGGATTTGGTGTGCTACTAGCAGACCTTGGGAAGCAAAGATAGTTTTGCAATTGTCTTTTGGAAACTTGTTGCAAGGCTTGATCCTATTTTCTAAGGCTCCCTGTACCGCTCCACGTGTCTGCATGTATGTTTATGGAGGAGAGGCATCAATGGCACATCATGGAGATGTTTTGGTTACACCAGGACTGAAGAAGCAAGAAGATACCTGTGCAGCTGGGGAGTACAATATCATCTCCTTTCATAAGATGCAGACACGTGCTCCTCACAGCAAATGTCACCTGTGGTCTTGGAGAAGGAAGGTGTCCTGGTTCCACTGCCCCGTTGCGCTTTGCCACTGCTAGGCTAAGACCTTGGTGGCCCTACTCACCCACGCAGAATGGTAGAAAGCTCCTTGGGACTTAGGGGTCAACGTGTACACTGCCGCCTGTAATTCCCACCCTGCCCAAAGGGGTCAGAAGAAGGTGGCAGCTCCTTCAACCTTTTCCATTTCCCCCCCCCACCCATACGTGAAGATGCTGTCATGCTAGGCCACTGAATGAATGTAGTTGTAGGGCAATGATATTGTGAAGGCCCAATAAGAAAAGTTGTCATGAGGTCTCACTTATTATAGAATACATCCAGTTACAAGCATGCCTTACACCAGGAGAATGGGGCGCATGGAACAGAGAGAAAGACAACTTGTTCCTTGATGAAGAACGAGCCATGGATAGCTAAATAGATTGAAATACACCTACTTCAAAGACAGATCTATTTTCAAATTTCTGGGCAAAATAAAGTGTACAAAATTGGCTGTTAATACAGGCACAGTTAGAATTTTACTAATGTTTTACTTTCCTATTAAATCAAGTGTTATTGAGCACACTGTAACTGGGGTGTTTTTTAAATACCTTTCTCATCCTAATCCAATTACAGTCATATGCTACTGTGATTCAGGTTCACATTAAGGAGATCTTGCCTTAATAGAAGCACAAAGTATCTACATATATGTGTACTAGCATGAGCTGTGGGGTTGGACTAGATGATCTCCAGAGGTCCCTTCCAACATCAACGATGCTGTGATTCTGTGAAATGAAAACTTCTCAGGAGCCTTTTATTTGACTAAGTGGAATACCTAATGATGCATTTATTTTTAATTTACGTTTTAGGCCCACTGTCGTTCTTTGCTTAGAGAGCTCAGATCCAGGTTCTCTCCCTGAAAATGTGAAACTCAAAATCGATAGAAATGGACATGGGATTTGGGGGGTTTGCACACTATGTTGTTGCTGCATCATTCTGATATTAGGAAGAAGTGATCTGGCATTTTATCTTTTCAGAGGGTTAAATTTTCTGAATGTACAAGGGACACATTATCCAGAGAAGGAGACATCAACCACTGACTACAACTCCATATTGTGGATCATTCCTGTTATGGTAGACAGTTATAGCATGGGGGTAGATTTTAGGAAAGAACTCTTAACACTTTATATCGCCATATACACAAAGCCCTTTTCCAAGCAAGGAATAAGTGTTACTTTTGTCTGAAAAATAACAACTTTTCCCAGTGGTTATAAAAGGACTGGATGTGAAGGAGCTTGCTTTATCAAGTCTGGAGCTCAGTGTTATTTGCGGCTTGTGGCTACCCTTACCAAATGAGAAAAATATTTATTCAACAGACCAGAAAGCTTTGCTAGTGCAGTGATGACCATTACTATTCTGGCAGTCCACAAACGAGGCTCATTTTGTCACTATGGTACTGCAATGTCATATACCCTTTGGTTTCCAGAAAGAGCCCTGGAGCCATCAACATAACAGCCCAAAGTCTTGTCTTGGGAACATACCGAGTCAGCACCAATAGCCTAGCTATGGAGCAGCACAGTGGTAATTTTGTGAATTTCCAGCTACATAGTATTTTGTGGTATTATAAAAACAGTTGAAGTGGGGATTAAAAAAAAAAAAAAAATCAGGTGCTACCACAGTGGTTTATGTTCAGCTCTACTTAGATGTTAGGTGAAAGCAGCATCCCTGACCCTGCAACCCTTCCTCACCTGAACCACTGAAGAAAAAAAAAAAAAAAGAAAAATCAGTGTGGTTGTACCTATAAGACTTCTGGCATGAGTATGGGTGACTTAGAGAAGTGGAGGGTTGCAGGACACAGAAGAACTGTGAAGGGATTTAGTAAGGGTAGCCTGGAAGGCAGAAGCACTAGCGCACTGAGCAAGTCCAGAGGTGGCTGTGTGTTTCTTTCTAACAACAAAATACCTTTGACTAATAATTTAGCTGAAGATATAAGGGACCCAGCTCTGAAGGTGACAGTGCCCGAGTCATGGCACGCCACGTCATTTAGGGTTAAAGTGTGGATCATCCCGTCCTGCTCAGAGATTTCAGTCACAAAGTTGTTGTGAAGGGGAGATCCATCGAGCCACCACTGCACGTTCTTCACGCCCGGGTGCGAGAGCTCGCAGGTGAACGTGGCTGACTCACCCACAAAGACGTCTGTGTTCTTTAAACCAGAAACTATGACTGCTGCTTCTTCTGTATAACAGAGCAAGAGAAGGTGCCAAAGGAAAACAAAATCATAAACATATACATGTCGCTACCTGCAGAACCAGCCCAAGCAACAGTGCAAGTTGTCCAGCAGAGTTAAACTCCTAATGCTGCTCCGGGGAACAAAGAGCTAAAATTTTCTTTAGAAAAAGGGATTTAGAAACCACTTTCCATCCTTCACCCACTTGCAAGCGCAGCATGTGGGTCTGCAAACACTGTTTCAGCGGTAGGAAACTCTACTCCATGACCAGGTCATGATTGGCTCTCCTGCGTGTTGCAGCCATCTGCACTGACATTGTATGAGGTGGGAGGCAGAGAGGTAGCTTAACATTTAAATGTTTACTTACAGTGCTTTAAAAGAGTAGTAAGAACGTCAACAACGATAGAAGCTGTAATCAGTAATAACAAGAATTTCGGTATTTTTTACGACCACTGCTCCAAGCAAATAGTTTTTCAGCAGTACCACCCTCTGCTATGGTGCACAGTACAGTCAGTACTTTGAACGACCTTAACTTACAAACATCGGTCCAACCTCAGCCTGGATGTGTTTATATCTTCACTGAAATCAGGAAAGAAATGAATGGACTTTCAACTGTTTGCATCTGAGACAAGTTTGGCCAGTTACTGTCAAAGATTTTGGAATAAGAAATCCAGGCAGCAAAATCAGAGCATTTCCACCACATTTCACCTTACCTTGCACATACACAGAACCTGTGGTGATCTCGTATCCAGTGCTGCAGGTATAATCCCCACAGTCATCAGGCTCTACACCATGGATAATCAGCTCAGCAATGCTGCCTTTCAGCTTCATCTCGTACTTGTCACTGGGCTGAATGACCACCCCTCCTTTTCTCCATTCAACAGGGGCATCTGGCTTGGAGATCTCACAGTGCAAGACAGCCGTTCCCCCTTCTTCAGACTCTACATTTTTCAGCTCTTCCTTAAACAGCACAGGTAGTACTGCAGTGGAAAAGCAACTGCATGAGTGACAATGCTCAGAGGTGAGAAACTTGCTTGCAACTTCTCCAGCTTGGCAGTTCCAATCTTTCTGAACCATAACTTGCCTGCTGGCAAGGCCAAGCTCAGAGCAGGATTTTAGTTGTGCCATAAGCCAGTGTCCTGGTTTCGGCTGGGATAGAGTTAATTTTCT